GCGAATCTGGAGAAAGGCAGTTTTACTTCATTTAAACCCGGCTTAATTAGAAGACACATGTATTCGATCAAATGCTTGGGTTCTTAAGGTTTAGAACTTTATAAAATTGTTTGAATGATCAAATTCCATTCGAACGCGCTATTTTAGAGGGATACATTGGTCTCGCTGGGCTGGATGAGTCACCGCGCCAATAAATTTTTATATCGATGTTCACTGCTGTTCGAGACGTTTCCCTTTCTTTTCTTCTATTTCATCCCTATGCTGCTCTAGCGCTCTAATTTATCCCACCCCTTTTTCCTGTACTACTAAGGTCCTCCCAGTGGGTACCCATAAGTGGCTCCATTGCTTGGTGGAAAACAGTCAAGTAATTGTCCATTGGGATTCATCTCCCCTAGTCCTATGGTGTTGCATTCGTCAAATCGAACGAAGGTGGTGTCCGATTTCGGTTCCTTATGGCGACGGTGTTGATTACGGTATTTATCCGGTAGATTAGGCAATAAGACACAGCAGATTGGATAATTGCGACGCGCCATGAACTAAATGACCTATTGCTGCTATCTCGTCGGTCCCTCCTCCTCCCCGTTGTCGATTTTGCACGACGAGATGATTTGAATAGATACAGAACACTATAATGTGGTCCACTACGGCTGAAATGTTCAATAATAGAAGAGAGGGTTTGAGAAAAAATTGAAAGAGAAGACAGAAAAATAATGAATCGATTTCAGGATAGTGCAAGCATGGCCCATAGCGCTAATGTTCCTTTGCTTTTTGCTTTTCGCCGGACTTGTGGACTGGTACTTCAGCGATGATGAATCGATGTATGACTTTGACAAGGACCGTACGAAGAGGGCCGTGATCGGGTAAATTCTGGGTTTTCTAAGAAATCGTATACATTAATTGTTCGAATTCAGAATGCTTTACCCAACCAATGAGAACGAAATGGTGGATGACCCACTCTTTGGCCCACTTTATGATGAAAAAGTTCCCAGGTAAACTTTTCAAGAAACTTTTCATGGACCGCTAACCCATCCGCAAGCTTCAGAAAAGCCTACGTGAGCGCAAGCGAAGAGCAGGCCAACGAGTCGACGCCGGAGCCCTCTGCTAGGCCGATTCTTGACGAATGCTAAGGCTCTGGAGATTTTCTCATCGAATAAATATTTTCATTCTCAAATTTATCTTATACAGGGATAAAGTGGAACACCAGGGATCAACCTGGGGTCATGCTAGCCCGGAAAGAAAGGGAGGTGATTAGACCTGAGCCAAATCCTACGAGTACAATTCTTAGGCGGGACATCTCGAAATCGCATTTGGATCAGCCGGCTAAAGACAAACTTCTATCATCCCTTTCAAAAACCAGAAGAGCGTCGGGTGCAGACCATACACCACAAGTGACGACGGCCTCCACAAAATGTAAATGTTTTCTGCCAATGAAATGATTAGCCTGTTGCAGTTGTATTCTATCAGTTGTCACTAATTACAACTATCATTTACCAAAAATCAGCTATCACTATGAACACTACTAACCAGATTTACTTGGCCGTCGTCAGTTGTGGTGTTCGGTCTGCACTCGACGCTTCTGGCTTTCTTGAAACAGGAGGGTACCAACTACATGGCCCCATCCTCTGAATAGTGATCTCTTTTCAGGGCCAAAGTCCTTATAATTGAGGTGAGCGGGAGCTGTCTATGAAATTTTTACTGCCTCCCTACCAGACTCCTCCCCGAGTCTAGTAGTTGCACTCTGTTGTGGGCCACCTCAATACCACAGTTGCTGGTTGTACCGTCTTTGTCATGATTTGTCCTACTGCCAGTCCTCTTGTTGTGTGACTCCGGTTAGTGTGCGGCACCTCAATACTTGTTTATGTAGGTTGACGCGCTTTGTTGATTTGTTCATCTCCAATCCCTTGTAGTTGACTTGTTTTAGTAGGCACCTGCAGGGATCCACACGTTTTTGGGCTCGACCGGCATTAGTCGTTGTGTTCATCTTTTGATTGCTTGTGAGATTCGAATTCTGTGCTGGACAGCTCACATCCCAGTTGTGATGTGATTGATAGAGCTGTGGTCTGGTAAACCGTCACACTGGATTGTCCCTCTCTCCTTCCTCCGATATGGATCTCTCGCAACTCGCCTCCCGTTCCTCTGTGCCTGCCAAAGACAGGCCTGCTGGTGAGGCTCCAACTTTCTCAAGTGCACTCGTTTGAGTGGTTGAGCCTGCATTTGCTCTTCGTCTCGTTCATACGCTCATGGTTCTCGTGAGTTATTTGAATTGGGTGGTGTGTGTGGGTGGTGGGGGTGTGGCGGCGCGCCTGTGTGTTGTTGTTCCATCTCGCAGTGCCTCGTGTTGACTCTGTTGTGGGCACTACCAATCCCACTGTTGTGTTCGTGTTGTGTGTGCCGTCGGCCTGTTGTATATGCCTTTCTTTTAGTATCTTCAATGCACTCTCTGGTCTCGTGATTTGCGTCGGGACACCTTCCAATCCTCTCGTTTCGTAGTTAAAGCACTAGAATCAGGCATCACTGTCTCTGGTCGTGTTGTGCATCCTCTCAGTTTTGCCCTTAATGTGGTTACGTTGTGTCTGACTCTTGTGGGCCACTTCCTAACTTCACACTTGTTGCTTGCGGTGACGGCTGTTAGTTGTTCCATCTATAAGGAGTCCCTCGTAGTTGTCTCTGCTGTGGGCACCTCCAGTCCCACGTTGTGGTTGACGGCTTTGTTGTTGTCCATCTCCAGTCCCTCGTTGTTGATCCTGTTGTGGGCCACCTCCAATCCCACGTTGTGGTTGACGGATTTGTTGTTGTCCATCTCCACTCCCTCGTGGTTGGGACTCTGTTGTGGGCACCCCATCCACGTTGTTGTGTTGCGGCCTTGTGTTGTCATTCTCATCCTGTTAGTTGACTCTGTTGTGGGCCACATCCAATCCCGTTGTGGTTGAGGCTTGTTGTTGGTCAATCTCAGTCCTCGTTGTTGGACTCCGTGTGAGTCCATCTCCAATCCCAAGTTGTTGTTGGCCCTGTTGTAGTATATCTCCAATCCCTCGTTGTGATTCTGTGGGCCACCTCCAATCCCACGTTGTGGTTGACGGCTTTGTTGTTGTCCACCTCCAGTCCCTCGTAGTTGACTCTGTTGTGGGCACCTGACAATCCACATTGTGATGTTGAACGGCCTTAGTAATGGTTGTGTTGTCCATCTCCAGCTCCCTCGCTAAGTTGCCTCTGTTGTGGTGCAACCTCTCTCACGTATTTGCACTGTTCTCCGGTGGTGTGCACGGACTAGACTAACCGACTTGCGTATTAACTGTCAACTATGAGCGTTTGAAGATTGAGCACGCTCATTATTGAGCAATTCAATATGGCGGTGCATTATGCGTCAGGCAAATATGAGGGCCGCTGATTGATCTGGTTCAGGCTTTTCTAACGTGAGCGGAGATCTTTCTGACCCGACTAAATTTACCTGGTTGACGGCCTTAGTGTTGTCCATCTCCAATCCCTCGTTGTTGACTCTGTTGTGGGCCACCTCCAATCCCACGTTGTGGTTGACGGCCTTGTTGTTGTCCATCTCCAATCCCTCGTAGTTGACTCTGTTGTGGGCCACCTCCAATCCCACGTTGTGGTTGACGGCCTTGTTGTTGTCCATCTCCAATCCCTCGTGGTTGTTGTTGGCTCCCACGTGGACCGACTCCAATACCACGGTGTCTGTTGTTGATTCTGTCACCGCCATCGTAGTCTCTGGTGCGGGAGCATTAGTGGTCGTTGTTTGCGACATACCGCAGTATTTTCCACCATTCGCACTGAAAAGAAAGGTATAAAGAAAATTCTGATCACCCTCCCTTAGGATTAGGAGGCATTATTTACGGCTATGTGAACCTCAGAGAAGTTTTATTTCCAAACAAAAAAATAACGCTGCTACTTCCATAGTGAGAACCTTGTTCCTGGGCTCCGTGTCAACAGAATCGATGGGATCGCCGCGCCAGTAGGCGTGGCCACGACGGCGCGGCGGGTGGGCGTGTCCATTGCCAGATATCGGATGTACTAATGGCGTGGGACTTTCTGAGCATTCCGATGACTGTGATTGTGAACAGAGTCAACCCTGCGTTGCGCAGTTCTCAACGGCCACGTTGCGCAGTTTCGCCCGATTAGACACGTTCTCTCGCGCGAACATTCACACTCGCATGCTCGAGCCGTCTGTGTCTCCGCCCATACAGCGTGCGTTGAGGATCTCTCAACGTGCCGTTGCGAACTGCGCAACGCAGGGTTGACTCTGATTGTGAATGACTGTTCAGCGGAATTTCTAATTGTTGAACCCTACGTTCTACTTCGGAGCAAGGATACAGTCACTTTCATTAGCTATCTTAATATTGTAGTTGTTCCTTATCTGAATCTATAATAAGCATGTAGCTTTTTGGGCTTATCTGAATCTATAATAAGCATGTAGCTTTTTGGGCTTTGTGATCAAAACATGAATATAATTTGTCTACACTACTACCAAGTTTCACTCACAGTGTCTCTAAACAGCGCCATTATTTTACAAAACACATTTTCTCTATGAGAACCGTGTAGCGAACAAAATAAAGAACTACGACGACCAGTAAGGTGATCCTATCTTTGCTCTGATTAGGTGTGTTTCCTGGACAAATAACTTGAATTATTCTGATGTCTAAAAGAATTGAGAGTCAAAGTTTCGACTTCTTCCTTTTGCTGTAAGACAAA